AGATAGCATTCTGTGCCTGAGCACACAGATAGCAGATCTCAGTTAATCATCTGCCATAACGTTGACTTAGGTTTTGAACATGACGGAAAACTCAAACAATGGCAGAGGATGTCAAACACTGACTGTTTGGATGGGCACTGCATTCAGTATTCTAATAGTTTGATCTTCACACATATACAAACATATTTAACTGAAGGGCGATCAGCTTTTTGGCCACAAATTGAAAGTGACACATTGTGACTATAGATAGGAAATATATTTTTCCCCATATGTCACTGATACTTAAATGTAACGTTCAAAGATACTGGATCTTTTCTTTAAAAATGGTCATTTATCGATACTTTTAATTTCATAGCAAATTCATTATGATGCGGAGCTCTTCTGTGTTAACCGTTGTACCTATAATGTCATCTCAACTCACCATTTATCTTATTAATGAATTGTTACACATTAAAATCTTGTCAAAGCTTTTATAAAACCTAAACAAATATTAGAAAAACAATCAGACCAAAGCAGTTTACTTGTATTTATTTATTTATCACGCATATGCTGTGGGAAGGTGGGAAGGGAAGAAGATTGATTACTGTGCAGTACTTAATAAACCTCTACTGGTTGTTGTCTTACTGTGGAGTTTGCACCTGGTATGTTCTCAGCAGGTAAGGCTTCCCATGGATTGACTGTCTGATATCCATCCAGATGGACAGAGATGGACCAGCAGCATGCCAAAGCTCATGGCCAAAATAAAGTGCCGTCATTTCATCCTCTCTCTCTCTCTCTCTCTCTCTGTCTCTCTCACCATGTCCCTGTGTTGGATAAAGTTGGATTGACTGTCAGATCTAAAATTACAAAACAACATAGGATCCAACAGTTAACGTACATCACATTTATAATATAATCAAACACAATTTGTCAGGCAGGGAAGGAAATTGCACTCTGCCTTTCCCTGTAATTAAAACACCTCTCTGTATTTCTCTTTTATGCGAACTGCAATTACAGCATTGACACCACTGATTAGAGCTCCTTAACTCAGCAGGAGAGCTCCATTAAAGGACTTGGGAAGGCACTTTTAAATTATGTCAATGCAAGACTGTCCTCGCGTAAAGTACGACCCAATAGGTTGTTTGTGCAAGCAGCTAATATGACTTATCCTTGTGTTTTTAAAATTGAACGACCTCTAGTGGTAAATGCATGTAAAATATGCGCTGGCGGTGTCGCTGTTATATGGGGCAGAACTCATCACCCTGGTAACCTAGAAAATGGAGCTTTCTAACATGTGTTTATCCTTGTAAAAGGTTCTGTTTTATCCCAAACTATAATCTGGTCCTAATCCTGACAAGTAGCCTAGTTTTAATGCCTAAATCTGGGCAAACAGCGAATGAAAATGAAAGTAAACATCGATTGACTCTAAATGTAAAAAAATGACTAAAAAATGACTCTAAAGCTCAGCCTCTCAGTTGAAAGTCGTGCATGTTGCTAAGTACCCAGAAACCCTTCTTTACTATTTCAGTAATTGTCAAAGGAGCTTGCAAAGAAAAGCGTCTGGACTTCTATAAGTTACTTGAAGACGTTTCACCTCTCATCCGAGAAGCTTCTTCATGACTGAGAACCTTCACAGACATATTTCAGTAATTATTTTATTTTATTTTGTTTCATTTTTTGAGGCATGGTGCAAACAACCATTGATTGTTTATATAGAGGGCTTTTTGAAAATATTAGTTGTATTTTTTCATTTATTTTAGTGTTTGGGTCAATTAAATTGTAAAAAGAGTATTTGAGATGTACTTGAGGTAATGCAATATTTTAAAATATTCTCAATCAGCTTTCTGCTTTGGTGACAGTGGTGTATTTTTCCATC